AAAAAAAAAAAAAAAGAATTTTACGGTATGTAAAGCATGCAATAAATAAAGTACTGAAATTAAAAATATAATAGAAGAAATTTAAAACTCAATAGAAGATTTGAAAAATAATGTTGAGCCAATGCTCCAGAAAGTACAATAAAACAATAAAAAGATAAAATTAGGAGAAAGAATATAAGAAAATTAAAGGATGGGTCCAGGAGATCCAAAATCCCAGTAACAGCAATTCAAGACAGACAGACTAGGGAAAAGTTTTTTGGTTTTTGTTTGTTTGTTTGTTTTTAGACTGAGTCTTACTCTCTCACCCAGGCTGGAGTACAATGGTGCGATCTCAGCTCACTGCAATCTCCACCTCCTGGGTTCATGCGATTTTCCTGCCTCAAGCCTCCTGAGTATCTGGGATTACAGGTGCATGCCACCACACTCCCGCTAATTTTTGTATTTTTAGTAGAGACAGCGTTTCACCATCTTGCCGAGGCTGGTCTCGAACTCCTGACCTCGTGATCCACCCACCTCAGCCTCCCAAAATGCTGTGATTACAGGCATGAGCCACCACACCTGGCTGGGAAAACTATTAATAGAAAGAGGTAAACTGTCAAAGTTCACCTGTAAATGCTATAAAAAATATACCTGAATACAAGAGAATCAAAACAGATCCCTATTAAGGCATATTGTTGTGAAACTGAGAAACGCTGGGGATAAAGAAAAGATTTTACATGCTTCTAAAGAAAAAGGGGTTAAAAAAACAACTTTCATACAAAGGATTAGAAATCAAAATAGCACTGGTCTTCTTAATTACAACAGTGAAAACTAGGAAACAATGAATGAAAGAATGAAATGTACAAATGAATTGAACAATTCATTCAATGAATCCATCTATGTCTTAAAATTCCTAGGGAAAATAACTTCTAAACCAGAATGTAAGTTAATTGTGAAGATAAAATGTACCACTTATGTTCCCTATCTTAGATACTGGAGAGTGTGTTCTACCAAAATGAGAGAGTACACCAAAACAAATGAAGACATGGGATTCACAAAAAAGAAGATATAAAAAGGTGAGAAGCAAACTGATCCCAGATGATGATAAAGGGAAATCCTGGGACAACAACTTTGTAGCAGAGGTAAAACTAGTAAAAGGGAGGGAAAAAGCCTTAAATTACAAAGTGAAATACAGTAAATCCCCACATAGCATCATCAACAGGCTCTTGGAAACTGTGGTTGCAAGCAAATCGACTTATAAGCATAGGTTAACTGATATAAACAAGAGTCAAGTTCCTATAGCATATTTCTGGTCACAAAAACATCACCAAACTTCTAAATAAAGACCAAAACATTTCTAATGTTAAACATTGAGATAAATGTGAGATATACTTACATCTCACATTTAAGAAAGATTAATAAAAACAAGCAATATAACTATTTACCTGTTTATTCCAGCTTAGGGCTGGCCAGAGGCTATTGTAGCAGCTAAGGTCACAAGGCAGGAAACCACCCTGGAGAGGATGCCCTCCCATGGCAGGGCACACTCACACCCACACTCAGACTGGGACCATTTAGACACACCAATTAAACTAATGTGCACATCTTTGGAAGTGGGAAGAAATCTGAGTACCTGGAGAAAACCCACACCGATATGAGGAAAACGTGCAAACTCCACGCAGTAGCCCCTGCCAGGAATCCATTTTTTTCCTCATCAGCTTTGTAACCAAACGACATTGGAGGAAACGATGTTACTCAAGGATGCACTTTACTGCTCTTCCTGGTTGACTCTTGCTTATGTGAAGAGTCAGGCTTAGTTAATCAATTCATCATTATGAATTTATGTTATTACTTGGAATATAAATAAGTAAAGATTTATTCTTATTTATATTCCAAGTAATAACATAAATCCTGTAATTAAGGCAATGCCAATCAGATAATGAATGAATAAATGACAAATTAAATGCTATAAATGTAGTTTAAGTAAATTATTTCCAAGTTTATAAATGCTACAGTAGTCATTAATGGGAATTTGGACCTACATACTTAAGTGTGAATGGGAAATCACTAACCCAAAAACCATAGTGTACAAGATGGGTTTCCAAGCCCATTGAGTCTTGTAAAACTACACCATTCCTTTCTAAGGAAAAGGCTCACACTAGTTTTTTTTCCTACAATAATTACAACAAATTTCTGCTTTAAATGAAATCAGTCCCTCTTTTGCCTCATTTTTGTCTCCATTGTTCTACACAAAAGCCAGAGTAGTTTAAATTGTATAATCTTTTAAAATATAATAATTAACAAGAGACATATTGAAGGTTATATTAAGTTATAAAGCAAGCCAAGACCAGGACATTACCAATAACTTGTACCTACCTCCCCCAGGCCATCCACCTGCCTCCTGCCTGAGGAAATATTTCTTAATGTTGTATGTATCATATCCTTGCCTTTTTTGACATAGTTTTGTTACATTATGCCTGAATAAAATATTATTTAGTTTTGCTTCTTTATTAACTTTATCAATGATGCATGTAATTATAGTTCATTCATTTTCCCCTTATGTATAACATTGTATAATATGTAATATGCACTGTTTATCTTGTCAATATAAAGTGCTGTTCTCAAAATTCTAAAAACATAGCTCTAGTGCACTTGTATAAGAATTTTCCGGGCCGGGCGCGGTGGTTCAAGCCTGTAATCCCAGCACTTTGGGAGGCCGAGGCGGGTGGATCACGAGGTCAAGAGATCGAGACCATCCTGGTCAACATGGTGAAACCCCATCTCTACTAAAAATACAAAAAATCA